TTTATATTTGTTCTTTTTTTTTGACAAACAACACCAAGATATCTAATGTTCCATAAGCTAAAGATCTATAATACATATTGTATATATTATAGCCTGTTACCGAATACGAGATTATGCAGCTTGAAAAAGGGAAAAAACTGTTATGCTTGCTAAATCATTGAACCAGTGGATGCTACATACGTCTATATATCTTGCATCCTTGACATACAGAGAAATCAAATTATCATACCCGCAGGACATACAGAAACCCAGAAATCATGGCCAGGGTGCTCCATTATATTAAAACGTTTGTTAACTCTTTGATATAATGGAATACAAAGTTGCTTTGCATCATGTGCATATTTTGTATTTTATATGTACAATTACTAGACATAAAATATTTGTTTCCTTTATTCTAATCCTCTTGTTCAATCGCTGATAAACTTCGACACATGTTCATTTTTGCCAGTAAAAATCCAATCTTTGAATTGGTAGCTGCTTATTTGTTTTAGGCAAATAGACCAACTGACTCTTGGGATAGGGCAATAATAATAGGTTGAAAAAAAGGGTCCAATGATACTAAAACTACCACCTGCATTCTGTCAGGAAATCTGCCAACCCTGGCTCAAAACACATCATTGTTCCAACAGCTCTACCCTGCTGAAAATATGTTGGTTAAGAAATGTCTCAAGAAAAATTCTGTACGTTAGTAAGGCCAGAAAGGGTCCTGACTATAATCACATTGAAATGCTGTGCTGTGTCCTGAAGCAAGCTGCTAGCAAAAGACAACCTAAAAATATTACATGACCAAAAACTGCTAGGTATATAGATTGTGCCAAAATACAGTTTAACAGATGTATGTGTATAATCAGCATCTATCTAAAACATTTTGCTGAGGTTACTGTATGTAATGAAGCTTCCACCTGTTACAATATCAGAATTCACATACGTCTCTATTAATAACCATATGTGTGTTTAAATAAATCATTCTTTTTTTTCTTTTTTTAAAGAATATGTTTTTATTGAAGATATTTTCATAC